ATAAAAAAATTCGATACATGATTTTCACTATGCACCTGCGCTATGTTTGTAATTAGATATGCATTTGACACCCTAATAAAAGTTTGTACGTAGAATTTCGTGAGATATTATTTGCAACAATACAATTTGTAGTATACACCACAGCTATTCGTAACACCGCATATACGCACGCACGTTTAGTTAAGATCGATCTACTAACTATAATTAGTAATTGCTTTCATGGAATAAGACCTAAAAAATTTCGTCCAGTAGTAATTAGATTGTTCCAATCGGTCCTAGTCTAAATTTGTCTTACTTTGATAATTTATATAGGCTATAATATATACTATCGCTATATTGAGATATTGTTAACGTTAATAAATTTGAGTTCGGTATCTAGAATTATAAATTGATCTAAAATGTTAACCAATTCCAGAGAGGTTTATCACTACCGTTACTTCTACCGTTATTTCTGTAAATCTTCTAAATAAAAGCTGGTCGCAACTAAGATTGTCTATTCAAGCAATTTGCTGTGTCTCTTGCAGCCCCCTACTATATAACAATTTTGAAATATTTCCGCAGATCAGTATATTATCGTTATAGATAGTACATTTTAATTAGAGGCGTTACCTATACTAAAAAGACGATTCGCTTTTAAAATAGCGATTGGATAAAAATTCTGGTTTATTCTATAATAGAATAGAATCTAGTTTTTTTTTATTGAGTAATTATGTATCATCAATCATTTCTTACATTGGTTATTCTTTTTTCACAATCGTTATTCCATTTAGAATTGTGTAACTCCCATTTATATTACAGATTACTGTAGTTAGTGGTACAAAACGTACGTACGTACATAGTCACTGATACATAAAAGTTTGATCGGTTATCGTTATCGGTTATGTTAAATTTGAGAAAACATTTTATATTTAATTCGTTGAGGCTTGTTAATTTCCATTTAACTAGCTCAAATATTGTTGAAAAGCCTTTCATCAATTTTCCGATTTTTTTCATTTCAAGGAAATATTTATCTACGATGAACTCTCAAGACAATCATAAATTATGCATGATTCCCGGTAAAGTTGATTTTACTTGTTAATTCTTCGTTATTGTGATTTTTAATCTTTATAATCGAATTAATAGGCCCAGTGGAGTTTCATGAAGATGTACTATTATCAATGTCTACCCCCGCAACTTCTCATGTTTCACCTTCATTTATCCCTATATTTGGTGAAGCAATTGAGCTTTTGCGCAAGATATTTTTAACAGCTAAGGGTCAGCCTTTTGTTGTTTCTGGTTCAGGAACTCTTGGTTGGGATATGGTTTCTTCAAATTTAATAGAACCAAATGAAGATGTATTAGTTTTAAACACTGGTTACTTTGGTGATTCCTTTGCTGATTGGTGAATACTCATTTTTGGTTTTATTGTTTATTGATCAATTTTATTAAACGTTATATTTCAAAATATAGTCTTGAGACCTATGGCGCTAAAGTTACGCAAGTAAAGGCTGAAATTGGTGATCGTCCTACTCTTGAAGAAATTCATAATGCTCTTGTCTCAAAAAGATTCAAGGCTATCACCATTACCCATGTTGATACATCTACTGGTGTACTTTCTGATGTAAAAGCGATAGCAGATTTAGTTAAACAGTATTCTCCTGAAACGTTGGTGATTGTTGATGGTGTATGTTCTGTTGGATCTGAAGAGATTCGTGTGGATGAGTGGGGTATTGATGTCGTTTTAACCGCAAGTCAAAAAGCTCTTGGAGTTCCTCCAGGATTATGTATCTTGATTGCAAGCGAAAGAGCTATGGTAAGCTTGATATTCTTTTTTTAAAAAAAATTATGTTCTATTCAGATTATCATTGTGTTAATTATCTTTTTCGCTGATCAGAATGTATTCAGTAACCGAAAAACTCCAATTAAGAGTTATTATGCTTCATGGCATAACTGGCTACCAAGTATTATGATTATTTATTATTATTATTGCTAATGAAGGTACAAATCAAAGAAAAAAATAATAATTTTAAACATTTTATTTCATTACAGTCATGAACACTTATGAAAATAGGAAAGGAATGTACTTTGCCACTCCACCAGTTCAATTAATATATGCACTTCATACAAGTCTCAAACAAATAACTTCAATTCCGCTTGAGGAACGTTTCCAACAACACAAAGAAGTCAGCAATCGTATTAAGGATTCCCTTGAGAAATTAGGATTGAAATTTGTATGAACGTTCTAATTAATTTTATTATTAATTTTTTATAAAATAATTTTTTTCAATAATCTTTGTGATTAATTATCACAGGTTCCAAAAAATAGAGAAGTTTCTGCTAACGGAATGACTGCCGTTTACTATCCTGAAGGCATCAAAGCGACTGATCTTCTTCCCAGGGTAGCAGAATGTGGTGTCGTGATTGCAGGTGGTCTACATAGAAAGATTGCTACAAAATACTTTAGGGTCGGGTAAGTATTCTATTACTCGTTTTATGCTGGGTTGTAAACTATATATATATTTATATATATATATATATATGATTATTAATTTTTGTTTATGCTTTAATTTTTCATTTAGCCATATGGGTATTAGTGTAACTGAACCTTATAGAAAACATATAGACAAAACAATTGAGGCACTTCAAGAAAATTTAATTCAATTGGGCTATAAATATAAAGGTGCCAATTAGGAAATATCCATACTATAAAACTTTCTTCTAATTTATTTACAAAGATTACATTTTCTGAAAAAATCAACTTATAGAATTTAAGAATAGTAAATTAATTTGGAGTCAACCAATTGCACAGAGCAAATTATAGATAAATTTTTTTTATTTTATTAGGGGTGGGTG